TCGTATTCCAAGTGACAGTGGTGGCCCTGGTGGCTCCTTGGCTGTGTCTGGGATGTGTGACCTGAAGATGGGAAGCTGGCACGATGCTTCTCCACAGCCTGGCAGGGTGTGGAGGTGATGCTTCCGTCAGCAGGTGCTTGGTGGGGATGGTTGTGTGTTAACACTTCCTCTATCCCATCCTTGACCTGGGAAAACCAGGAGGAAAACTACCATGGAGAGAGGAACAGGGGGATGTTTGGGACCCTGGGGTCATCTCACCTGGACTCTTCTGTGCTGCAGCAAAGGTGAAAATCTATCACAACCCCAGGGAGAACCAGATGTGAGACCCCCCAGCCCAGGACCAGAAGGTGATTCCTTCTGAGAAGGGGGATAATCCTTCCCACGCCGTGATAATTACTATTTCTGGGTTTATGTGGAAGCTTCTATGAGGGAACTTCGTTCTGATTGATTAACGGGTGCCCCCAGCTAAAGCTGGGGCTGGAGAGACAGGTTTTGTCACCGCTTTGGGAACGCACTGGTGATGGGGTCACCCAGGGAGGTTTTATCCCTCGGGAATGAGCACAGGGGTGGCTTTGCACCTCTGGGACTGGGAGCTGCTGGTGAGTGCTGGGGTGGTGAGACCTCCCCCAGGGAAGATGCCCACTTTCCCCTATTCCTTCCCTCTGGAGATCTTCATGTGTAGCCCAGGGGAGAGAATTTGAAGTGAGGAGACAGGGAAAGGAGGAGGCACCACACAGGTGGGAATGCAGGGTCAGAGGGACACACCTCACACCGGGACTGCTGCTGCTCTCCTGCTTTGCCTCTCCTCCAGCCGGGCTGGGAGGTGGGATGGGGAGGGAACTGGTGCCTGGGTGCTGCTCCCGTGGTCCCTCCTGCCCCGTGCCGTGGGCGGCGTTGGAGGTTGGGCTGAAAGGGAGTTATTTTTAAGCTCCACATCTCGGCGCAGACTGTCATTCCCATTCTCCCCACCTTCCCGGTGGGTGGGGGAGCAGGGGAGGGCTCCAGCAGCTCGGCAAACAGCCTTGGACCCAGAAGGTCTTGGCTGCCTGGGTCCCTTTTCCCTGCCAAGGGGGAATTTGGGGGAGCTCAGCCCCCATGGGCTCCCTGGGGCTTGGAGGAGGTGGAGGGGGCTGTGCTGTGCTTGGTGCTTTGGGCGTGACCTTTGGACCTCTGAGGGCTTTGCTGTGTGATTTCAAAATCAGTTTATTCCCAAAATCAGGAGAGAGGCTGCTTTAAAGTCACAATATTTCAGGAAAAGAAGGGGGGGGAAAGAGGTGCTTTCTGTTGGTCGGGCATTTCTTGGGTGTTTCTGACATCCAGGGCAGAGTTTCTTACATCCTGCAGATGACCCACAGGATGGGATCCTGGGTGCAGGATGGGATTGTAAGCTGGAGCAGGGCAGGACAGCAATGGGAATGTTCTCCCTGGGTGTTAAATCCCTGCTGTGTGGTGGAGGCTGTTCCACCCCAAATCCCTTCCCAGGTGTGAGCCAAGAAAAATATAAAGCTCCTGGAAGGATAACTGGCAAGGAGGATAAACCTGCAAGGGGAAGGCCCTCAGAGCTTCCTGCCCTTGGCCCTTTTCCAGGAGGCATTTTTGCAACTCTCCAGCCCATCGCCGAGCTGGGTGGCACCTCCTGTGGCACAGCACCAGGGTGGCACCACCAGGCACCAGCACTGCCCCTCACCACTCAACCAGAGGGAGGTTTTGAGGCAAAATGTGATTTTTGGGAGCCTGGCATGATGCAAATTCAAGTTGGGGCAGGGGCAGAGCATCCCCAGGACACCCTTCCCAAATTCCTCTTCCCCTCCATCCAGCTCTGTTGCTGTCAGATGTGTTGGGATTTAGTGTCAAACTTTAGGAGCTCAGTCTGTGAAGGCGTTGGGAGAGGATTGGGGTGGGAGGGTGGAGCCACCCAAGTGCCTTCGTGCTGGGGGGGATTATAGAAATATTTGGGTTTATTTTAATGCCAGGCTTATTGCGGGGATTGGGAGCTTAACCTGGCAGCAGAGCAGCGCTCATCCCACCCTGGATGGCATTTACAATTCCACACTGGCATTCCTCTCCACCTGCAATCAAAACCTCCAGGCTGGTCCCAGTGAGGGAGGTGGCTGGGAACACCTGCCTGTCCCCCTGCCCTGGCAGCACCCCCAGGACCCCCATTCCTGCACTCCAAACTGTGTGTGGTGCTGCTGCTCCAATGCATTCCTGGGAATGCCGCAGCTGCAGGGTGCAGGAGGGGATGGCAGCGCTGGGTTTTGTATTTCTTTTCTTTTTTAAAAAAATTCTTTTTTTTTTTCTTTTTGGAAAGGGCTTATATAACCTTGGGGATTCTATTAATAAAAATAATGGGTTTGAACTCTGGGAACAACCAGCCCCAGCAATGAGCAAGGAAATGCTCCAAGTTCAGAATGCAGCAGCAGGGAGATAAGGGACAGGCATTCCGGGCAGGAATAGTGGCCAGAGGCTGTGGAGGGGGAGAAGGGATTCCCTGCCTGAAGGCAGATCATCAGGATCTTCCTGTGCCTCCTCCCCTACACCCCCTGTGCCCAGGGAGAAGGAGAGGAGGTGGGAAGGGGGTTGTTTCAGCCCCAGTGTGGATCTGGACCCTGTGGGAGTAGGGTGGGTGGGATGAGAGCACCTCTCATCCTCCTGCACCCATTTTTAAACATCCCAGATCCCTCAGATGAACCCCAGTCTGCATCCAGGGCAAAAGTGTGGGAAGAGCAGCCCAGGTGAACATCACCTGGATCCAAACTGTTGCCCTGGATGGGACCTGGGAGGTGCTTGTGGTCCCCAGGGGATGCTCATGGCCCCAATGGACACTGGCCTTGGCTCCACAGGAGCTTGGGGGAAAGTATTAGAAGAGATATCAGCAGATTTGGGGTTAAAGAGGCACATCTGAGGCTCAGGCCCAAAACAGGAGGTGGCTGTTGCGTGTTCAGTGTGACTCTGGGGTCGTGAGCCCTGGGGGGGTTCATGTTCTCCCCCCAGCCAGTGCCAAGAAGCCTTTGTTTTGCTCTTGTGATTTAGGGGCTCTTTCTCTTTTTAATCCCTAAGTAGCCAGCAAGGCATTTAAAAGGTTTGCTCTAACATTAAGAGAGGTTAAAGCCAAGGTGGCCATCAGAGAAAGCTGGGACATAACCTAAATCAAGGAATTTGGAGGCAAAAAATCCACAGTCTTGGGATGTGTTCAATGTCCAGTTGTTTCCATTTAATACCAAAATATTTAAAACCTCATTTTTCCATTCAGGGTGAACATTGCTTTAGGTTTATTGTGTTTCTCCTTTTACCATGTGGGATTATCAGCTTGTTTCCCAGAAAAGCTTAACACTCCCCTCAGCAGTGGCCTGGGGTTTGGGCTGGTTTGTTTGGGACTTTATTTTGTTTGTTTTTTTTTCCCCTCTTTAAATCTCCCTTATTGAAGTTGTCACAGCTTGACAGCCTTGTGCCAGGAACACGCTGTCATCCTGAAACTCATATCTTTAATTCCTTCCCTCTGATGCTAATAACACCTTAAGATGATTAAGACTTGGGGCTGGGGGGGGAGGGGGGGTGGATATAATATCTTATTTTTCTGCTGTTTGGATGCTGATCACTGACTCTCAGCACTTCATTCATCTCGGGGAGTAAAATTGGAGGGGTCACCCCCCCCTTCCTCCCGGGGGTTCTCCTTGGGTTTAGTGCCTGGGTTTTAATCGCTGAATATCCATGGCTGGGTGTTGTCCCAACGCTTTTCTTGTCCATTGGAGATGCAGTGGTGGGACAAACCCCCTGTCACAGCACCCCTTGGCTGGGGGCCACCCTGCAGCTCTCTTTGGGATGCTCCCAAGGGCAGCATTCCCGTGCTGTGGCAGTGCCAGGAGAAGCAGGATCAGGCTCGGACGCTCCGTCCTGCCCCAGCCCCAGTGCCAGCCACGGCTGGGCTCGCAGCGTGAGTGGCACAGATTCCTGTCACCAGGAGGTTATTTATGGTTTTTTAAAGATGTTTTTGGTCTGGGACGTGTTCAAGGCGTGCTTTTGCCTTCCCAGTGTGGTGGGGCAGTGCTTATCCCGTGCCCAGCTGACACTTCCTGCTGGGCTGGGCACCAGCTGCTTTGGGCAGCAGCTTCCACACCTTTTTGCTCCTCTAGGAAATAAAGGTGCTGGACAAAATCAAACCCTGTAAATCCCTGGATGTGGAGATTTGTGTTGATGTGTGCAAGGGCGGGACCCCGGGGCTGCCCTGAGCAGGTCAGGGGAAATAGGAGACAGCAGTAAATTTGGAAAAACACCTCTTTTGGCTTGAATTCCCTGTGTGTGCTGGGTTGGTGGGTGCTGTGATCTGATGGGATGTTGGTTTAGGATTTTAGGTCGTGCTTGGATCACAAGTGGGGCGTGACCAGGGAGGGCTCTGGGTGTGTGTTTGTCAGACCTTTGAGTTTCCACAGGCCTCAGTGTCCCCAGGGGATGAACAAACAGCCCCTTCCCTCACTCCTGTCGAGGGAAACTGGGTGGTGGCACCTTCTGCAGGTGTTGCAGGACTGGGTGACCCAGGACAGGTCACTTGGGCCCCGATGCCAGCCATGGCTTGGGATGTGGCACAGTGGAGTCCCGGCTGTCCTCGCTCTCTGCACAGCCCAGGGTTTTAGAGGGATGAGTCTGGGGGCTTTGGGAGCACCATTGGAGGAGGCTCCTCAGCCCTTCACAGCTCCTGAGCGGGGAGAGAGAACTGACTTGAGGAAAATGGGGAGCAAGTGGGGAGAGCAAAGCTGCTGCTCCCTGACATGGGAGGGCTGTAACGTGTGGGCTCAGTGTCCCTTGTGCTCCCGGCATCCCCGCTCCTGGTATCCCTGTGCTCCCTGTGTTCCTGCCATCCCTATGCTCCCAGTGTCCCTGTGGCCCCCATACCCCCGGCATCCCCGTACTTCCCGTGTTTCTGGCATCCCTGTGCTCCTGGTGTTCCCATGCTCCCCACGCATCCCCACGCTCCCAGTGTCCCATTGCCATTCCACGTCCCCAGCACCCTCCCATTCCCAGTGTCCCCGTGTTCCCCATGCTCCTGCCATCCCCACACTCCCAGCATTCCAGGCACACGGACACCCCCCCCCCTCCAGTGACACCCCCTCACCTTCTCCTCCTCCCACCCCGCAGGAAGAGCGGCCCAGCCGGATGAGACGATGACTGTGGAGAGCTCGGAGACCAACGGGCCCCTGCGGGAGCCGGAGCCGGGGGTGCCCAAGGCCCCAGTGCCCCCCGTGCCCTCCCGGCGCCGGGGCCACCGCCTGCGGCGCAAATCCCCCCCGGAGAGCCCGGTGAAGGGGCAGCTCCGCATGCGCTCCCCGGCCGGAGCCTTCGTCATGGTGGGCATCTCGGTGGTGCTGGTGGGCATGACCATCGCCGTGGTGGGCTACTGGCCCCACCGGGGGCACGGCGGCACCGGGGCTGGAGCGGGCAACGCCAGCGTGGCTGGGGACACGAGGAGGGAGGTGACAGCCACACGCCACGGGCCCCACAGCGAGAAGCTGAAGCTGATTGGCCCCGTCATCATGGGCATCGGGCTCTTCATCTTCATCTGCGCCAACACGATGCTGTACGAGAACAGGGACATGGAGACGCGCCGGCTCATGCAGAAGGGGCTCTACGGCATGGCCGGGGGGCTCCCCGAGGGCGCCGGCCCTGAGGACGGGCACTGCCACCGCGGGGACGGCCCCAAGGCCAACGCCGAGTGCGTGGAGGGCTGTTACCAGGTGGACCTGTCCTGCCAGCCCGGCCCTGGCAGCAAGTGGTCCGACTGCTACGGCCCCAACCGGCTCCAGGCCATGGCCGAGTTCCTGCGGCACCCGGCGGGATCCCCCGCGGCCTCCTTGCACAGCCTGCGCTCCGGCGCCTCTGCCGAGGCCAACCTCGGCCTGCCCTGCCACGCCGGGCCCGAGTCCCTGCTCTGCTCGGCCGTGGGTGCCCTGGCGCTGCCCGTCATCAAGCTCAACAACTGCCTGCTGGACGCGGCGGCGCGGGGGGCTGGCGGGAGGGTGGGCCCTGCTGAGCATCCCCCCGAAACGCCACGGCCCTCCCGGGCCCCGCTCTCCGTCGGCGACAGCGTCACACCCTGTGGCCAGCGTGGCCATGCTCGTGGTGGTGGTTGTGGTGGTGGTGATGGTCACACCATCATCGACATGGATGGCGGGTGCCCCGGGGCGGAGCTGGGGGCAGCAGATCTCGGCCCCGATGTGCAGCTCCACACCCCGGGACACTCCAAATCCCTGGACCTCGGCCGGCCGGGGGTGCTGCTGGTGGCCCCCATGAAGGACCGTAAGAACCGGAGCTGGCCCAGGCTGGACAATGTCAGCCTGGTGGGCTACGCCAAACTGGAAAGTACCGGCGAGTCCTCGGACCGGCTGCTGGAGCCCAGCGAGCCCCCGGGCCGGGCAGAGCCCCGGCCCAGCTCCTGGGTGGTGGGCACGGAGCAGGGCACGCAGGTGTGACGTCCCTGGGGACCCTGACATCACTGTCCCTCGTCCTGGCCACCTGAACCCACCAGCGGCCCCAGGATCCCCCATCCAGGAGGGGTTCGTTTTTAAGCAGATGCCAAGAGGAAGGTCCTGACGCGCTACTCCAGGGGGAGGACTCACCTGGGGTGGGATGTCCTTCCCAGTGGATGCCCTTGGCCTTACAAGCCCTCCCTCCTGGTGGCTTTTCTGGAGAAGCCCCCACTTTGAGGCGCAGTAAACTGTGGGATGGGGATGTGGGGGCAGGTGAAGCCTCACCAGCCCCTGCAGCACTTTATTTCAGTGGGGTTGGGGTGGGGGGATGTTCTGGGTGGTGGTGGCCCCTTGCCCAGTCTCAGCCCACCGGAAAATTTGCTTGCCCAGAGCACGTAAGCCCGACAGGGCTATTAAATATTACCTGGATGCCACGTGGTCCTGCCTCGCCTCCTCCTGTTCCCAAGGGGTGCTCGGGGTGGGCAGTGCCAGCAGCAGCCGGTCCAGAGGGTCCCCAAGACCTTGTGCCCCCCCCCAGGCTGTGCTGGAGAAGGGATGCTCCATAACCAGCTGCTGAATATTTGCAGGATGAGGTGATGGGCTCAAGATTTGGTGGTTTTCTGGTTTGTTTTTTTTTTTGAGAGAAGGGAAGCAAAAGCAATGCCCAGGGAGCTGCAGGCGGCCCACCCGGACTGCAGCAATTCCCAGGGCCTGTCTGTGGATCCAGGTTTATTGGTGCTGGATTTTGGTGGAATGAAGGATGCAGGAGGAAGGATGTGAAGGGGCAGGGAGGTGGGTGAGTGTCAGTGCTGGTTTTGCCAGATCAGGTTTGATGCTGTCATGGTATTTGTTGCCCTTTGGATGCAGAACAGGAGCTGCACAGGATGAGGCCAGAGAGGTGAGAGCTGAGGGTTCATCCCATCCTCTTCTGCTCCCTCCAGCTCTGGATGGCTGAAACACGTTTTATCTGCATGAAATGTTTGGGGTTTTTTTTTATTCCTGTCTCTCCTTCTGCCTCTCCCTGGCCTGAAGTGAGCACAGAGCATCAGACCTTGCAAGCTTTGGAATCAACATCCTTCTCCAGACCCAAACATCCCGGCAGAACGGCTGCCTTTTCTGGCAAAACACCCTCTTTTCTCAAAAAGCAACCCCCCACAGTGGTTTTTTTTTTCTGCTTTACAAGGCAGAGCTGCCTCTGCTTCCCTCACAAAGAGGTCAGACCCAGCTCCCCCTGTGCAGGGGACGGGGATGGAGCCGGAGGCTGCGGTTTGGGGCCGGTTGCATCCCGAAGGATTCGCTGGGAGCGATACCAGCCCACAGCTCAGCTATTTATTTGGCTGCTTAATCTCAACATTATTTAGGCACCGGTTCAGGGCAATAAACAGCAACAAGAAAAAGTCACCGGCGGGGTCTGCCCCGGAGCAGCATCCCAGAGGGAGGGCCAGGAGGTTGTTTTTGTCCGAAAATAACTTTTTATTTGGGCTCAACCAGCTGCAGCCAGAGCTCAGGCCAGGCCCTGGGCCACGAGTCAGGAACCAGCAGCAAGAAATTGGAGCCTGAAGCACCACAAGGAGCTGCACCAGGAGCTACTGGGGGGTTTTGTTTTCATTTTTTCCCCTTCAGTTTTTGGCTGGGGCTCAGCCTGACTGTGGGAAGTGGCTGGATCACAGGGGAACCTACCTGGACCACATGCCCACTCCAGCATCCTCCTCCTGCCCCATCCTCCTCCTGCCCAGCTCAGCAGCGTCCTCCAGGGAGGGACTTCTGAGCCACGTTGGGATTGTTTCAGAATGCAAAGCTGCTTGATTAATTAATCTGGCAGGGTGAGATGACCCGTGCCTTCTCCAGGGAGAGCGTCATCTGTGCATCCCTCACCTTCAGCTCTGGCTGTGGACATCGTTTCCAGAGGATCTGTGGGATTTTAACAGTGCTGGATTCAGAGGATTGATGCCGTGGATGCTGTTCCCACAGCGTGCTGGGAATAAACTGGGCAGGGATGGGGCTGGGTTAGGAAAAAAAAATTAAAAGAGAAAGTAGAAATATCCCCCCTGGATGGATCCCTTGGCTGAGCCTGCTCGTCTGCAGGGGTGGGAAGTGAAACCATCCTGGAAACCCTGGAGATCTCTCGCTGTGCAGCCTGCGAGGGGCAATGCTGGGTGGTCTGTCCTGCCCAGGAACAGGCTGGATACACTGTGGATTAAACATCCAGCTGTTCTCACCCACTGGAATATCCCATTCCAGGAAGTGCCCAGTGCAGGAGGAGATTCCTGCCAACAGAAGAGGGATTTTTACCAGAAACACCAGCAAAGAAAATCGTGGGGTTGTCCCAAATATCCAGCCTGGACAGGACTGGCTCTGGGGTCCCTTGGGCCAGAGGAGGGACACTGGAGAGGCCAGAGACCCCACTAATTGCAGTTACCCCCCACCTCAAAGGGCTGGGGCGTAGCTATGGGATAAAATGTGGGAAATGGCTTTGGGGGGAAACGCCTGCCCTGGGCTGTGTGTGAGACAGGTGTAAGAGCATCTCCCATGCCCAGGGACACCCCAGTAGTGCTGGGGCTCCAGATTTGCTGCTGGGACACCTCCACCCCCCGGGGAGGTTGTGCAGGTTGCAGGGGGGTCATTAACACCCTCCAAGTCTCCCGAACAGCTCTACAAGGAGCTGGGGCCAAGGACTGCTCAGCTCCAACAGGGCAGGGTCGGTGCCAGCCCAAGAAACTTCCTGCAAAGGGGCAAAAAGGGGGGCATGGAGAGACAAGGGCCGTGCCAAAAAACAGTCAGCTCCAAATAGCAAAGGATCCAGACCCAAACCTTGGAGCCCAACAGCCACGGGCACCCTGAATCAGCCACAGCCGGGGACGATCAGCTCCCACCCCACAGCTGATGCTGCTCAGCCCTGGGGCTGGTTTGCAGCTCTTCCTCCCTCCCTCCTCCTCCTCTCGGGGTCACAGCCAGGAGTCTGCTTGGCCGAGGAGTCCTTCCTTAAGATTTAAGGTCTGCGGGAAGGGGGGGCCCTGCTCCTGGCTCTGCACTTGCAGTACCGCCAGTGATCGCGGCCGTAAATCTGCCGAGGTGTTGGGAAGTGTCGGGGACAGTGTGACCTGTGAGGGGTGACGCTGCTTCAGGATGGCCCTGGTGGGTGGGGGGAGCTGAAAAACCCCTGGGACCTTTTGGCAGAGTACACAGGGTGATGTTTGTTGTTGCTTTATTTAAAAAAAACCCAAGGCAATAATGGTGATGCAAAGCTCTTCTCTGCTTTAATGAGCCAGCACTGAGCCCAGAGCACCCGTCCTGGCGCTTCCCAGTATCCGAGGGAACCAGGATGGGGCTGGAGCTGGGGTGGGGTTGGGGGCAATTGCTTAAATTTATTTTTTTTTTTACTTATGCACCTTTCTCCCGCTGCAGAAATGGGCTGAGCGGTGTGGGATGACCCTCGTGGGGCTCATCCAGGTGGGGTGGGATGAGCTGAGCTCCCCAGCCAGAGTCCCCCCGGTGCTATCAGTCATTGCGTGGCAAGATCTGGAGCCCAAATCTCCAGGGCTTTGGCTGGGAGTCCGTTTGGAACCACTGTGGGGGCAAAAAGGGGGAAGGATAGGAAAGGGAAAGGCAAAGGAAGGGATGCCCACAGACTTGCAGGTGTCCTGCAGTGGTGCTTTCCTGGGGGGGTTGGGATGGAGCAGGAGTGAACCCAACGCTATGGGATGGGAGGTCAGTCCCTATCCCTGGCTCTGACTTTTCCTTCGTGCCTCGATTTCCCCAGTGAAGGAGCTCAGTGTGTCCTACCTGGCCCGTGACAAATGTAATTCCTCCCTTTCCACCCTGTTTGTCCCAGACCCCGAATCCTGCTGGGCTCTCCCAGTTGGAAGTGACAGAGTCACCCCACCGATGCAATTCCCCCTGGAGCCCTGAGAGCAGCCCCGACCTGAGGGCACTGCACTGACCCCCTGGGAACACAAGTGGCTGCTGAGCCCCTGAAACGGGAGGAACGACCCAAAAATAGCCCAGGGCTGGAACAAGCTGGAGTTTGAATGGGAACTTTCTCCTCCCGGTGTGACGGCCACTCCTCCGGGATGGAAACACGAGGATGGGTGATGAAGGGAAATGGCTTTTGTGGCTCCTTCCCGAAGGATGGGACCTCCAAGAGGGAACCATTGCCTTTGGTGTGGGATCTGGGGGCTGGAGGTGGCCCGGGGCCACCCAGGAGCTGGGACTGGGCCCCCCGGGAGCTGTGGGGGAGCTGCTGCTGCCTCCTGAGGGGCCGGGACAAGGGCTTGGGCTTTGGGGTTTTATTTATTTGCATCTGCATTGCCATGGTGTTTGTTTGTCTAATGTTTTCCCTTGCTTGTAGCCAGGCAAAACGCCACAGGCAAAAGTTACCACACACACACACAGACCCTGCTCTGGCTGTCAGGGGGGTAACCCCGGGCTTGGGACACCCACCCAGTGGGGCTGGAATGGGGGAGCTGTAAGAAAAAGCCTTTCCAGGTGTGGTGGTGTCCTGGTTGACAGCCCCAGGGCTGGGTGTTTGATGTCCCTGTGTTTGTCCCTCAGGGAAAATGAGCTGGGGGCACAATTCCCCTGGGAATTTTGGGTGGGGCTGCAGCGTTCCCTTTGCTGGGGGTGTCCCTTCACTGGTGATGGCAACGCTCCTGCCCAGCCAAGTGTCGTGTCTTGGGTGGATGGGCCGTGTGGGGGCAGGTCCCACCGATGTCCCCGCAGTGTGTCCGTGACAGGGACGGGCTGGGAGCCCCTTGGGGACCATTGTTAGCCCGCTGTCCCCTCACCACGAGGGTCCCAGGCCTGATGATGGTGTTTCTGCCAGGAAACACTGGCGCAGGACACACCCCCACATTGCCATGGGAGCTGTGGGATGGACTGGGACCAGCTCAGAGCTGCTCCCTGGGTGATGCTCAAGTAGGGACACAGCTGATGCCTCCTGAGCAAGAGACTGACACCCCAAAGTGCAGCTGAGCAGAGGGATGAAGCCATTTCTCGGTTGTTTCACCCCAGACACGCTGGTTTGGGGGCTGTGGTCTGTGCCTGGCTGTCACATCACACCAGGGCATTGTCTGAAGGTACTGGGAGCGCCACAAGCCCCAGCTCCAAGGGACAGGGCTGGTTTTGGCATGACCCTGATGGGGTTGGACAGGGCAGGAGCCACAGCCTGTGCTGGCCCAGGGAGTTAATGTGGCACACTCAGCTCTACTGCAGAGCTGGGAGTAAATTATGGGAGTAAATCACGGGAGCAAATCACGACCCTGACACGTTACGGGAAAGCGGCTCCGGTGGTGGCAGATTCCCAACTCTCCAGGGTCGGTTTCTGGGTCTCCTCTGTAATTTTGGCTTTACAGCACGTTCACATTTAATACTTGGAGAGGCTTGGAAGCAAAGAGGCCCTGGGCAGGGTGGGAGAGGTGATGGCTGTGTCTGGAGCGATGGGAATTCGTGGTGCTTTTAGTGTGTCCCCCTTCCCTTTCTGCCTCCTGGGGACACAGAGGCACGGGGGGTGGTACCACAGCAGCCCCAGATCTGCTCCTGCCAGCCAGTTCCCAGTCTCCAGCAGCCCTAAAGTGGGCCAGCTGGCTTTTGTTCTCCACCAGGCTGGTGGCCAAGATGCCCTGTCAGCTTTCTGCTCCGTGTTTCTGGCCCTCCTAAAGCTGCTGCAGCCAGGAA